CCCTCCTCACTGAGCCACAGGTGCCGCCCAGTTATGAGGTTTTTATCTGATTCATAATACACAAATATCTTTTCCCATTCTGAAGGTTGTCTGTTTGCTTTGGTTGTTGTTTCCTTAGCTGTTGGATATCCTTTAATTTCAGGTTAATATGATGGTGTGAGTGATAAGGTTACATTGTTTGTGAAAAATTCTTACTTCCTTGTAACATCTTGATGATCCTAACTTTGTATAAGCCTAAGCTAATGTGTTTGAGTCTTAGTTTAAAATAATTTTTTTTTGGCTGGATGAACGGTGGCTCACACCTGTGATTCTAGCACTCTGGGAGGCTGAGGCAGATGGATGGCTTGAGCTCAGGAGTTCAAGACAGCCTGAGCAAAAGTGAGTCCCTGTCTCTCCTAAAAATAGCCGGGTGTTGTGGTGGGTGTCTATAGTCCCAGCTACTTGGGAGGCTGAGGCAAGAGGATCCCTTGAGCCCAGGTGTTTGAGGTTGCTGTGTGCTGTGACACCATGGTACTCTACTCGTCTCAAAAAAAATTTTTTTTAATTGATATGCAATAGATGTGCATATTTTATATAATTTCTCAAAATAATATCAGTGTGATTGGGGTTTCTATCTTCTATGTTTTCCGTATGCTAGAAACAGTCACATTATTCTTTTCTAGCTATTTTGAAATATACAGGAGATTATTGTAAACTCTTGTCATCCTAATCTATCAAAAACTTTTATATCTGCTATCAAACTATATACCTTTTCTCATTAATCAACCTCTCTTCATCCCCCGTGTTAGTTTTTTTCTTCATGTGTGCTTTTAACAAAGTTTTTAAAAAGTAAAAATATTAAAAATTCTAAAAATACAAAAAATTTTAGAATAAAATTCTAAAATTACAGGTATACAATGTGTTTGTGTTGAACTTTTTGAATAAAATAGTCAAAAAGTTGAAAAAATTCTAAAAGGTTAAAAGTAAAAACGTTACAGTAAGCTTAGGCTAATTGAAGATAGAAAAAAGTTTTAAATAAATTTAGTGTATACTAAGTAAGTGTACAGTGTTTATATAATAGTCTACAGTAATTTTCTAGGCCTTCACATTCACTCACTGTTTCACCTAGACCAACTTCCAGTCCTATAAGCTCCATTCATGTTAAGTGCCTGACGTAGGTGCCATTTTTTTTATCTAGTGTGCAGTATTTTTACTTTACTTTTTCTGTGTCGAGATATGATTACACAAATATATTTTTCTAAAAGAAACTTTGGTATTTGAAATAAAAGATTATTTTATACATTATATGCAAATATACACTTATGGAAAAGTAAACATGTTTTGGATATACCTTCTAATAAGACTGTTGCTTTATTATAACTAGAGAAGTATAAATTACTGATTTCTTCATTTTGTCTTTTAGAGCTATGCCCAGCCAAGTCTTCAGTATATCCAGGGCCAACAGATTTTCACAGCTCACCCACAAGGAGTGGTGGTACAGCCAACTGCAGCAGTGACTACAATAGTTGCACCAGGGCAGCCTCAGCCCTTACAGCCAGTAAGAAATATTTCAGTTTTTAAAACTCTCATTACCTGTCTTGTCTTTAGAAGATTTTCTTTGTCTTTTGGTTTGGTTTGGGGTTTTATTTTTGTTTTCTACTGTGTTCTTTTTTAAAATTTGTATAGTCACCAATCTTACCTGAGTACCCGGAGAGCATACACTTAACCATGCTATCAAAATTTTTAATTCTGTGGAATTAACAGCTTTGTTTTTTTAGTTTACTGATATATATTTTGTTTTGTAGAATCATTCTTAGTATTATTTACCCTGACTGACCTTGTTTCTTTTTTGTTTGGTTTTTTTGCTTTTTTGTTTGTTTGTTTGTTTTTGAGACAAGGTCTTGTTTGCTCTGTTGACCAGACTAGGGGCTAGAGTGCAGTGGTGTCATCATAGCTCACTATGACCTCAAAGTCCTGGGCACAAATCATCCTTCAGCTTTAGCCTCCTGAGTAGCTAGGATTATAGGCATGCACCACCATGACTGGCAATTTTTTTATTTGTTTTAGAGATGGGGTCTTGCTTTGGTGCTCAGGCTGGTCTTGAACTCTTGCTTTAGTTTTTTTTTGTTTGTTTGTTTGTTTGTTTTTATTTTTTATTTTTTTGAGAGAGTCTCACTTTGTCACCCTTGGTAGAATGCCGTGGCATCATAGCTCATAGCAACCTCCCAACTTCTGGGCTTAAGCAATTCTCTTGGCTCCGCCTTCCAAGTAGCTGGGATTACCATGAACTCTTGCTTTAAATCGTCCTACCCCCTCAGCTTACCAAATTGTGAGGATTACAGGCATGAGTTACCATCAGTATAGGTTGAGCATCCCTTATCCACGATGCTTGAGATTAGAAATTAGATTTCAAGTTTTAATGGACTTGTAATGTTTGCTTTTCTTTACCCTGGTTGAACGTCCCTAATCTGAAAATCTGAACCCGAAATGTTTCCTTAAGTATTTACTTTGAATGTGACTGTTGAGCACTCAAAATGTTTTGCATTTTTGGATTAGGGCTGCTAATCAAGGGAAGCTTTGGGTATTCTGCAACATATGCAAAAGGATATGATAAACTGTAGTGGTGGTGTTGTTTTGGGATAAAGTGGGAAAAAAGACTGGCATAAGAAGCAATTTATTTGAAAGATTCTAAACAGGAGAATAACCTGATAGGTTAGATCAGCAATTTATAACACTGACACTTCTGGAGAAGGCTTATTAGGATGATCCAGCAGTTGATAGTGACTTTAGACAGGACAATTAGTAGAGGTGGAATAGAAATACTGTAGGGGAAACAACTGGAGGATAAGACAATGTGCACTTAACAATAAATATTTGAGTGTTTGTTGTGAGTTGTACCCTTCTAGGCATTTTGAATACAAATGTGGGTAAAATTCCTTTAGTATTCTTTCTTTGTTTTTTTTGAGACAGAGTTTTACTATGTCACCCCTCCATAGAGTGCTGTGGTGTCACAGCTCACAGCAACCTCCAACTCTTGGGCTTAAGCGATTCTCTTGCCTCAGCCTCCCAAGTAGTTGGACTATAGGCGCCCACCACAACACCCAACTATTTTTTGGTTGCAGTTGTCATTGTTGGTTAGCTGGCCTGGGCCGGTCTGGAACCCTCCACCCTCAGCGCACGTGGCTGGCACCATAACCACTGTACTACAGGCACTGAACCTCCATTAGTATTCTTATAAGCCTACATTCCAAATAAGAGAATTGGTCACAACAAATAATTCTGAAAGTAGTGAGAGCTTAGTGTCATGAAAAATGTGGATAAAGTGTTGGAGGATTTGAGAAAGGAAATAATTGTTATCAAATGGGGAAAGGAGCTGAGTGCGGTGGCTCACAGCCTCCAAGCACTCTGAGAGGCCAAAGTAGATGGAGTGCCCTGAGCTTACAGGTTTGAGACCAGCCTAAGCAAGAACAAGAACCTGTCTCTAAAAATAGCTGGGTGCTGTGGCAGGCACCTGTAGTCCTAGCTACTTGGTAAGCTGAGACAAGAGAATTGCTTGAGGCTCTATGTCTCATATACCGAGGCTGGCAGGTTCAAACCCACCCCAGGCCAGCTAAAACAACATTGATATCTGCAACAAAAATAGCCGGGCCTTGTGGAAGACACTTGTAGTCCCAGCTATTTGGGAGGCTGAGGCAAAAGAATCACTTAAGCCCAAGAATTTGAGGTTGCTATGAGCTGTGACACCACAGCACTCTACTGAGGGCAATATAGTGAGACTTTGTCTCAAAAAAAAAAAAAAAAAAAAAAAGAGAATCTCTTGAGCCCAAGAGTTTTGAGGTTTCTGTGAACTATGATGCCACAGTACTCTACCTAGGGTGACAAAGTGAGACTCTGTCTCAAAAAAAAAAAAAAAATGAGGGAAGGATTAGTGATTTAGTAAATACTAAATGATTTGGAGTATTCTTAGTGACATGGAAGCTTAGGGAAAAGAGGTCACTTTGTCCAGGTCAGATAGAAGATAAGGGAATGAAAGAAGTGAAACTTAGGCTGGGCCAAAAACCTGTAGCTCAGTCAAGTCTGGATAAAGAAGGGTATGCACAAAGTAGGGATGGTCCAAGACCCATGCTTGATAACCACTGAGTGTATTTTATTTGAGCTTGAGGTCTCAGGTTCCTCTTACTTCTCAGGCAAAGGTAAAGCAGAAAAAATTATTCTTCATCACTAGACTTGCATAGAAGGAACAATTAAGGAATATACTGTTAAGGGTGATGATATTAGTCTATTAGGCCTGCTATAACAAAATACCGCAGACTGAGTGGCTTAAATAATAGAAATTAATTTTCTCACAGTTATAGAGACTGAAAGTCCAAGATCAGGGTATTAGCAGGAATTGTTTTTTTCTTTAATAGCATTAATTATGTTAGGAGGGATTGGTTTTTGATGAAACCTCTTCTTGGCTTGCAAATGGCCACCTACTTGATGTGTCATCACATAGGCTTTTCTCTACACAAGTTCTCTGGGTAAAAACTTCTGTTTTTGTGTGTGTGTGTGTTTTCTTTCTTTCTTCCTTCCTTTCTTTTCTTTTTTTTTTTTTTTGGAGAATACACAAATAACATTTATTTTAATCTTCAGTCCTCAACTCTTGATATTAACAAGATAGCACAGGCAGAAAACACAGGTTTACTGTGGTTTTCCTTTAAGTCTTGCTTCTTTCAGGTGGCTTATCACCCATCTACTGGTGACTCAGAGTCTGACCCTAGCCTCACATCTGATAATGTACTTCCTAGGGACCTTGCAGAGATGCAACCTTCCTTTTGTAAGGGAATTACTCAGTAATTAGCTTGTGCTAATGAAGGTTGTAGTCAGAGGACCTGGACTTCTCCTGCTCTGCCACTTACTCTGTGTCACTGCTTGGACACCTATTGTTTGATCTATCAGTACCAGTTCCATCCCTACCATCTTTCTGAAAACTCTTTTTTACCCATTCTAGTCATACAGGTTTTTTTCTTTTTTTGTTTTCCAGTTGTGCCTTTGATTTATAACTCAGAGTGTATCTTTACATACAGGCCTAAAAGTCTCATGACTTTTGCTTTAATATTGCACTTCTTAAACCCAGATATCACAAAACTTTCTCTTCTTACAAGGATACCAGTCCTTTTGGATTAGGTTCCCTCCCTTGGGATGTCATTTAGCCTAACTACTTCTCTACAAATCACAGTGTTAGGGCTTCAACATACTGTATGTTGGACAGACACAATTTAAATCATAACAGTGGTTATTATGTTTTTTAAAATGTGGCACTAAAATTAAAACAATAGCCATTATCACGTTTCAGACCTGCAAAATACAGACAAAATATAATGGATGAATGTTTTGGTTTTTTGTTTGTTTGTTTTGTTCTTTTTTTTTTTTTTTTTGAGACAGAGTCTCACTATGTTGTCCTTGTGTGGGGTAAGCACAGACAGTCAAAACAGTTATGGACTGCACAAAAACAGGTTAACACTAAATTGTATAATAAAATTTCTAATTTAAAGCAAGCTGTTGTAATGTTAGGAGATAAACTTGTAAGTTTAAAG